TCCGAATTCCTGAAGCTCAGAGTCCCAAATTGTCCGAATTCCTGAAGCTCGGAGTCCCAAATTTTCCGAATTCCCGAAGCTTAGAATTCTCAAAGCTCAGAGTCCCAAATTTCCGAAATTCCCCAAGCTTAAAATTCTCAAAGCTCAGAGTCCCAAATTTTCCTAATTCCTAAAGTTAACAATTTTCAATTCTTAAACCCCTCGAAGCCTAGAATTTCCACTTTCCCGAATTCTTGAATTTTCAATCCAAATTTTCCCTACGACTTCACAAACTTAAACTCACATTCAACAAGTTTCAATCATCTCCTCTCAACTTCAGATACCTTCAGCAAGCAACAGACGAAAGTTTCATTCGCAAGCAGGACTTCGCTACTGTACTGATCAAGATCGCCGCGAATCCTGCGGGACTGGACGTAGCATGGAATTTCGTACGGTACCAACATCCTTCAGACTACCAGATATCTTCTCCGCTATTATAACCAGAGTATCCTAACAAATAACAATCATCCCTCAGATCTCGATGGGAAGGTCTACTTCTAAAATACAAAGCGAACGAGTATACTTTAGGAAGAATCGTCTGTGCGATCGTTTCGTTGTTCAAAGATCGACAAAGATTGCAAGAGGTGATTCTACTTACTTCTCGATGAAATTAAAAAAGAAATTATCGTTAAAAATTTCTTCAACAGGCGAGACAATTCTTTCTGAATCAACCTGATCTAAAGGTGACGGAAAATTCGAAGAGAAACGCGATCGAGGAAATCGAGAACAATATCAATTGGCTGGACGCTAATGTACGAAGCATCGATCGATGGTTACTGGATCATGGTTTCGATTGATACTTTCTCTTTCTCCTCCAGAAAAACTGGAGAAAATGTGAGAGATTTTTCGCGGTTTCGATTACCGGTATCTAAGACAAATATATCATTAACGGAAACGATTAAATATGACCCACCGGTTAGATTAATGTTCATCGATCCATCTAAAGATACGTGACCGGTATCTTTCTCTATGTAGTAGCTTCCAGTTCGATTAACAATTCGTTCCAATAAACGTTTCGCAAACGAGCCGAGTATCATTGCCAATTTTCCCAACTTTACGAGCTTTTGCAAAATTTCATTCACTTCGCATACCAAACACTTTTCACAAAATACTCGAAAATCCCTCACCTTTTCCAAACAAAAATTACAAACACTCGACACAATTCTACCATTTGAAAGAAAAATTAGCAACACACCGAAGCCTCCTCTTCACTTCCCACAAATCTCCAAAAATATTCGCGACACAATTCTCCCAAAATCCCTCCCCTTTTCGAAGCAAAGATTAGAAACACTCGAGACAACACTAAAATCCCTCTACGTGCTTGAAACAAAGATTACCAACACATCAAAGCCTCCTCTTCACATCCCACGAAACTCCAAAAATACATGCCACACAATTCTCCCAAAAATCTCTCACATTTTCCAAACAAAAATTACAAAAATTCGACACAATTCTACCATTTGAAGCAAAAATGATCAACACACCAAAGCTTCCTCTGCACATCCCACGATACTCCAAAAATACATGCCACACAATTCTCCCAAAAATCTCTCACATTTTCCAAAGAAACATTACAAAAATTCTACCTTTTGAAACAAAGTCTACCAACACACTGCTCGCCAGACCTAAAACCACCTCTTCAAGAGCAGCTCGATCGATCACGATCGAGCTCTGACCAAAAACGTGAACACGCTGGCCTATCTAATCGCTGAACGTGAAGGCTCGCGGTAGAAAAAAATCCCGGTGTCACACGGTGGGACAATGTCGAACGTATCGCCACGGGAAGAAGAAACGTCTGAACGTTCGCTGCGTTATCGAGCATTATCGAAATTTCTTTCCATTACTCATTGCCGATATAACCGCCGCGGACCTGGTAAACAACCGGGGAGCAGCACCGTGTTTGCCTTTTCCTCCTCTCGACTCAACAAACTGATACAGCGGCCAGTAATCGGACTGCGAATGATCCTCCGTGTCCTACGACGTAAACTGCTCCGTCTGCGTTCACCAAAGTCGACCAGCAACGATCTTTCGAGTCATCCACGGCACCAGAGATCTGTTCAGAATTTTTGCCAGTTGAGTGGACTGAGAGCAGGTGAGAGAACGAAGGAGTTCGGTTTCGATTCGTGAGCCAGCTTTCCCACTGTTTTCCACTCTTTCTGCAAGTTTCTGACAAGTTTGTTGCTCGGTGTCGATAACTGGAACATAAGGAGCGTAATTTGAAAAACATGACAACACGGAATTTTCAGTTTTCTTCTTACGATGGATATTTTCAACTGATTCACACCTGTAGAATTTACATTTGTCAGT